AGCCTTCCTCTGATGTAGCCCAATGGTTACATCAGCGTTTGTTGCATGCAGAGCAAAAGACAATGTGGGCTGTATCCTGTCGGTGGGGCTTGCCTTTGACCTTTGAAGAAGTTAGTAAAGCCCGGCAGGAGTGTGTCATCTGCTCCAAAAGGGACTTAACACTGAGTTCTACAGCAACATGGGACAATAGCTAAGGGACCTATACCCCTCATCAGGTGGCAGATAGACTATATTGGGCCTCTACGTGTGTCAGAAGGATATCAGTATGCCATGATTTGTGTGGACACAGCTAGTGGACTTCTGGTTGCTTTTACTATCCGTTGTGCAGACCAGCAGACAACCAAAAGAGGCCTGGAGCATCTCTTTGCCTCCTATGGCCGACCACAGGTAGTTGAGAGTAATCAGGGCTCCCATTTTACTGGACATACACTGCAAGAATGAGTGTGACAGCTGAGAATCAAATGGAAGTTTCATGTGCCATACAATCCTACTGCAGCAGGCATGATAGAGAGGCACAATGGCTTGTTAAAATCCAGACTAAAGTCAGATACCAATAGTTTATGGGGATGGTCAGTCTGCTTATGGACTGTGCTATGGCATTTGAACGAGAGACCCCTAGAGGGAACCCTGAACCCAATAGACATGTTAACATGTATGGCTGTCTCCCCTATACAACTGCAAGTACAAACCAAAGAAGAATCACTGAAGCTAAGATTTGGCCTCCAGAATAACATCTTGCTGCCAGCACCAACTGCACTGAACCCCGGAGACTCCACTGAGTGGATGTGGCCTTGGACCTTTCAACACATGGACCAATGACGGCTGGCTCTCCTGGCACCTTGGGAACAAGGCCTGGAAGCTGGCCTCCTGTGTATTCCTGGAATAACAGCAGAGTGACTCCCAAAGGTCACAGTAGTATATCCTGAATGGCCAGAAGGTAGAAGCATCTTAGCGGGGAGTTGTGTTCTGTCATCATGGCCAGTGCATGCACCTCCAGCAGCACTATATATAGACCCTTCAGTAACCCCCACAGGGAAAGGAGTATAAGTATGGTCTACTAGACCTGGAAGGGACCCCCTTCCTGCTACAGTCCTATCACAGGACCACTTTCTTGCAGGCATCCTGCCCGATGGACAAAATTTGCCTATGTTGGTGTCATTAAAACATGTGTCTTATCACCCCTAAGGTCTTTGTGGATTGGGAGCTTCCTCTGGCTTGAGGATTATTATAATTTTTGTTACCTGTATCAAAATGTTGTTGTATCATAATTGTTGTTATTATCTCTATGTTGTTGTTATCCTGTTGCTGTTGTGGAATCTGGTTACAGTGCTCCAGTTTTCTTGCCCAGGGACCATTGTGGAAGACTGAGAGCATGTAGATTTTAAGGCAAGAATTCTGGAGGGGTGGAGTGTGGTGAAGTTGGGGTTCGTATGGCCAGGATCCTCACTGAACTTAAACCACCTGATGATGTAACTGTCCTGTTGCTAGGCTACTGCTTCCACACCTTTAGGCAATAAACTATTATTGCACTATATAGAGAGCTCGGCCCAGTGCTCTGGGTGGAGGCAGAGACGCTAGTGTTCGACCTCCCGCCGGGAGAACAAGCCTGGTAATAAACTCTTTCACCCCAAAGAAACGTTCTGTCATTTCTTTGGTCACACTGAATCCATAGAGAACTTGCAAGGGGCTGAAACCCACTGGCTAGACACCCCCTGTCTACTTGGTGGTCACAGCTTGGTCCCACTTGGTGGTGGTTCCTAACCATAGTGGCCGCTGGGGCATGTGGCCCCCTTGTCTGTTGCTATTCTTTATATTGTTTCTGTGGGCTCTGGGTGCAGAGCTCTGCTTTGTGTGCAAGGAAGAAGCAGACGACTGCTGTCCTATAGAAAGGGGTGGGATGTAGGGAAGGCCCCTTCCCCCACAGTTTCCCTACTGTTCTATGAGACAGCTGTCTGCTGCTTCACCCCAAATATGTCTGGCCTTGAGAAACCTGAAAACACAGCATGTTATACTCATAAAAAAGAAGCTAGACAAGGGCCCTAAAGGCCAGGCACCTGGCCATGAAGGCCACACACATGCGCATCTTTAACACTTCTGTAACTCTGAATTAGTACTGTAGCAGTATCAGAAGTAGAGCTGTGTGCAGAGTAAAGCGGCCTCTTTGAGCACCCTCCATGATGACTCCTGCTGCCTTTGCTCTTCGCGTTGCCCTAAAACCTCAAAGGCAACCCCAGGACCCTGACACCCTTTCACCCCAATAACATTCTACTGTCATTTCTTTGGTCACATTGAATCCATAGTTAACTTGCCCGGGCCTGAAACCCATTGGCAAGACAACAAGTCTTAAACAAAACAAAATAAGGGATGTTTTCTTAAGTAACCACAATGTAATATCACATCTATCATAATTAACAATTCCTTAATATCATCTAATACCTAGTCCATATTCAAACTTCCCTAATTGTCTAAAAACATTATTTATGTATAATTTTAGAATTAATTTAATCCAGATCTGTTATTGGCCCACTAACTGTATGTACTTGTTTTATCTTCTATTGCTCTTAACCAGAAACAGGTGTTCCCCCTTTCCTTTTTGTCTTGTAAAAAAATCAAAAACAAAAATGCCTGGTCATTTGTCCTGTAGTGTGCATGGGTTTGTTTAATTTGTTCCTCTATGGTTCTTACAGACTGAAAGTTAGATCAAAGCCTTGTTTACATTCAGGTTTAGTTATTTTGGGGCAAGAATATTTTACAGGTGGTACTGTTTCCCATAGCATTAAATGAGAAGGCATATGATATTTGATTGTTGCACTGTAATGATGCAAAGATTGATTGGTATGTTCCCGTGGTGACAGCCTTATAGTTTCATCATGGTTTCCTGTCAGTCTTCCCTGTGGGATGCTAAAAACATTGATGATTGTTACCTGATCCAATTATTTTATTAGGAGTTGCAAAATGATGCTTTTCTAATCAAGTTACTACCTCTGCATTTATTTATGGATGTGTCTTGCCAATGGGTTTCAGCCCCAGGCAAGTTCATTATGGATTCAGTGAGAATGAAAAATGACAATGGAATGTTCTTGGGGTGAAAGGATTTATACCCAACTTTATTCCCACTGTGGCAGGTCAGTCACAAGAATCCTGTCTACTCAGAGCAAATCTGCATGCAGCAAGCTGGTCTCTGCTTCTGGGCCTCTCTACTCCCACAGCCATCTCAGTCTCTGTCCTTGGCACTGCCACCACTCCAGCCTCTGCTCTCCTGCATCCCTGCAACTGTGCAGCCCAGAGCACTGGGTGGAGCTGTTTATATAGAGTCAGTAACAATGTATTGCCCACACGTGTGTAGTGAGCTAGCCGACCAGGGCCAGGTGAGAATCCTGGCCATAGGAACCTTCACTTTATGCACAGGATTTTAGCAGAACTTCTCATACACCAGAGCTGTTTGGTTAACTTGAAATATGCTTTGTATCAGAAAAGCAGAATGTATAAAGGGAAAATAATTAAGCATCAATTTTCAGAGTAATGAATTGGTACCCTAACAGCCTACAGTGGTGTCCAATTTTGTTTTCTTCTCTTTTCTAAATATTATGAGCTCATGATTTTATATATTCAGTATGTTTTAATAAATTGCTGTTATTAGTCCTTCTGATCTTATCTCATCTTTGGCCATTGGGCTCCGTTCAAGCTGGCTCATATGTCCTTTTGATATAGTTCCATTAGCCTTTGATAGCATCATTGTTTTTTGGCTCAACAGGACGTTCCAGGTTAATCTTACCCATTGCTTGCGCCACACATATAGAATCATCCATTTTTCTGTGAAAATGTTCTCCAGTTACTTTCTTGTCTTTACTCAACTCCTATCCTGATCTACACACTCTGAGGCTGAAAAACTCACACTTCAATTTGTTCTCTGTATCTAATTTCACAGCTGACTGTTACATATCCTGCCTTTTCTGTATTCTGTATTAAATCACAAGCCTCAATTATTTCGCTGCCCAGCGCAGTGTGATCTTTTCTCTTGTTCTCTTGTGCTTTGTCCTAGGGCATGTGACTACATTCAGCTTAGTGTTTCATATTCATTCACCTTAGTATTTTATTACTTTTAGTAATTCATTATTAATGCTGTATTTGTTTAATGGATTTATATCTTTTTTCAAGAAATTTATGATTTCCTGGAGGTCAGAACTTCTCCATTACTGTAGGGGATTAAAAAGCAAATCTACTAGGAATATAGTGACAGCTGAGTAAGGATTAATTGAATTGAAGGGCATAGTTCGCTTGGGTAACTTATGGCTGTATTTGCCAACAGGTTGACACCAGTAGTGCCAATATGACATTTAAATCCAAGCCAAATTAAACCCTAAATCTTTATGCCAGAATTTAAAGTACAGGTGATTTAGAAGTATTCAAATTAATGTATGGAAAAGGAGGCACAAATAACCTGTTCAGACAATTTTTTTATAAAACTTGGTCTTTGGTTCTAGAATGTAGTTTTAAGGCACACTCAAGAAAAATATTTTCAGATGGCCATTACTTTTGGCTCCTAGCCTCAATTCCTACTTGGCTTAGTTTCATTACTGGTGGCTCAGAACTTGCTACCTGGCTGGTAAATAGGAGAGTTGGGAGCAAGGCTGGCTGCCTGGCAAAACCTACTTATGTTGATTTAATTGCTTTTGATCTTATTTGTCATCTTAACTATTTTTTGTACTGCTAAGTGAGTAGACTTTTTATGGTTTTTATAGAAGAATAAAAACCAGAAAAACCAGACTATTTACAACACTTAAAAATGTGACACTAGTCCTAATAGCAATGAAGTTACTCATCATATGATGAGAGTCTATGTTAATTTGTTTTATGATTAGAGTAGGAAAAAGTAGCTGAAGTGATGTGGCCCATCTGTATACTTCCTTTTTCCTTTTCTTTTATGCCCAAGGAAGATGCCAGAGATTCTTCAGGGAAAAGTAAAAAAGTTTTTAGAATGGTTTTGTATTCAATTATAGGTCCTGTTATTGCCTTGGAGTTTAATGGAGATGGTGCTGTAGAAGGATGTCAACTTATTGTCCATGAGATATTCAATGGGACCAAGGTACAAGACTTTATTAACTATATTTCAGTCAAACCTTTTCATTTCATCTTTTCATTACAGTTAAATAGTATTTTTATCCCTGTCGTTGCTTAGAAATTTTTTAAAAAGCAGATCATGATTTTTAGAATCTACAGTAAATAATTGGGAGCTAACCTTTGGTTTTTCCTTGCCAAACTAAAATTTTAATTGCTTAAAAACATACAGAATATGAATCTACTTACTAAAAACTTGAATAATATGTAAGTTTTTAAAGTAAAAAGTCTCATCAAATGTCTTAAATCTTTCCTTTTTTAAAAATAGTGATATATTGAAAATGTTATATTTCTAAGATTACATGCATTAGATTGATGATCCTATTGCCCACGTTCATTTTTATTTGCTTCACTAATGCTTCATCAAAAATTGATCTTGAGCTATATCTAGAAATCATTAATGTAGGTATTTTTTAGATATGTTGATGAGGTTGCCATAGCTAAGAATTTCAGGCTTCGGTAACAATGTAACTTAAAATACAAATACATGAGGATTAAATGACTATATATAATATATATATGTAACTGATTTTTTTAAACTAAATATCTCAGGAAACTTTTGGTTTTGTAGTCTGATTTGGTTTATGGTTACTTGAATTTGCATAATTTAAAGTACTTTGTCTTGTGCTCACTTGAGCAGCACATATACTAAAATTGGAATGATACAGAGAAGATTAGCATGGCTCCTGCGCAAGGATGACACACAAATTCGTGAAGCGTTCCATATAAAAAAAAAAGATAAAGTACTTTGTCTTTTGTCTCCTTTTATTATCACAACACTACAAGGGAGAGGGCAGATATAATCAGACTGAAAAGAAAAGGAAACAGAGAATGGTTATGATTTGGAGTTTTTAGATCTGAATAAGTTAAGGATTATCGAATGCAACATTCTCATTTTACAGGTATGGAAGCTGAGCCCAGAGAGGTTTATTAAGTTGTCAGCATCATACAGCTAGTTTATGATAACTAAATAGAACCCACGTATCCTCTAATTCCTGGCTAACATTAGTGGAAGATATTTTTGAGGGGTCTGTTGAATATTTCTTTATTGATACTCATTTAAAATTAGTAATATATGTTTAGCTGCTTTAGAAAAGATAATCTCAAGGTTTGCTTCTCAGCCTATTGAAATTGTTATTAGAAAATAGAAGAAACTAAGTTATTTAAATAAACCTCTTTATTCAGTGGCTTTCATAATGACTGTTGTATATTTAAAAACAGCAGTAAAATTCCAAGTGTAATAAACTACAACTGAAGTAGTATGAAAGTAAAAACCTTAATTATATCACAAGTGCTTTTAAAAGAACTCAATTTACATTATAGCTATTGAAAGTATATTGCATGGGTTCTAAAGAAAATTTACAGATTAAATGTTACAAATGATGAGCTTGAATCTCTTTAAAATAGCAAGCTTATGACTTTGTTCTTTGAAGAACATGGGTTTTAGAATTTTGGGATTACTAGTATTTATTTTTTGTTTTTTTTATATTTAAAATAGATGTTCGTATCAGAAAGCAAGGAGACAGCATCTGGAGATGTAGACAGCTTCTACAACTTTGTTGATATACAGATGGGGATATGAAATCAGTGTGGAACAAAGGCCTTGGGATTAAGCTCTTTTTAATTTGTATGGTAGCAATGGTTTTTACTAATGCTAAAATTGTTCAAATTTATGTTTTAATAAATTGTTGAATACTGCAACATTTGCTTGAGGTTCAAAAATAGTTCATTTTAAATTAAGTAGTTTCAATCAGCTTAAAAACTATTTATCCCACCTCAATAAACTTGCAGTTTTTCTCTGCATATGATACTATTATTAGAAAATAGAAGTGACTAATGGTTATTTTAATCCTAATTTAACATTCTTTCAAATCTCTAATAATTTAAACCTTCCTCAGTGCTCCATGATACTTGCTTGAGAATATATTCCATTGCTTATTTTTTAAAATATAGATGGATTTACTAGTTAATTAATTAGAATGAACCTTTGCATATTTTTTCATGTGTACATATCCAGTTAAATAATTGCTTCCCAGTTGCATAGCATGGCAAATGAGACTTTGTACACAGAGTTGACACATTTTGTAAATTGAATTTTTTAAATTAATAGGTATTTGATAAGCAGTTTTGCAAGTGACTCTACTAACTGATGTTGGTATAGCTGTTTAAAGACTATTTTGTGAGTAGTATGATTATTTGAATAAATTCCTCACTGTTTAGTTTTTGAATACAACTGCTAGATGACTCTTCTGCATCCTGGTAAGAAAGGCATATGCAACACTAAAATGAAAGAAGCACAATCACTGCAGTTTTCAAAGAAGTGATGACTGTTTTATCAGCTCTGTAGGCTATTAGGAGAATTAGAACAAAACCTTGTGACATTTAGCTAAGAAATACTTAGGCATGGTGATAAGCTATGCAGATTATTAGAAAGTTAGATAAGTTTGATTTTCATTAGACATGCCACTGATATCAAGTAATGCGCAAGTATGATAAAATTATTTTGTTTGCTTTAAAGCATTAGTTTCCAAATCAATCTGACCATAATAGTTTACCAGGAGGCAGGGGAAAGCTACTTGTTTAAAACTCCACTCTCAGACCCAATCCCCAGATGCACTGATTCAGTCTCCAAGGGAAACTGTGTTTTAAGGGATTTGTTGTAACTAACGAATGAATTCAGAAGATGCTGGTAGGTTGATCTTGCGAGAAGGGACTGAACATGCCAAACCTCCAGCAAGATATTCAGAAACAACACATTCTTCCTTTTATAGTGTTCTGGTGCTTTCCTGGTGAGGGCAGGTTCTCACCTATAAATAGACTTTGAGGGAGCCATGAGCACAGGTAGCAATCACATGCAACAGCTAATAGGAAATTTTAATAGGTCTGCTTTTAAAAGGAACCTTAAATCAAATTCTATTTTGGTAAAACTAAGGCTGAAAATAGCCACTTATAAAAATTCATCTTGTGATTGTTAATAAAAATGTATTTTCATGTTTACTGTTTTTGGCTATTTTCAGATTAATTATAACAACTACATTGAAAATATGTGGTATTGTTCAGAAATAATACATTATAAGACTGTTCATATTAAATTACTAAGTAATCTTGACCACCTACCCTGTGCCTGGCCTTGTGCTAACCATTAGCATTAGATCATTTCAGCCTTCTTTATAACAGCTGTCTGTATTACATAAGTCAATCTCTCCTTTAAATCAAGTCCATTTCATAAGATGCAAATAAAACTGGTGACAGGTTTAATATAATTTTGATCATAATCTACAAATGAGCTTTGCAAGCAATGGTTAGAGGGCATTAATTTTTCCCATAGGTAAGCTAAATTAAGCATGGTCCTTCTGATTATGATCACATTATTAAACCCTATTATTCACATTTAAAATAATCACAATATTTTTTGGTTTTCAGAAATGTAATACAATGTTTTGCAAAGCTCTAAATTGAAATCTTTATGGTATTTTAGCAAAAACTCAGGAATGTAACATGTGAGGGATGTAAATTTAAAAATTTCCACTGATGTTAGTATCTATTAACCAGAGCTTAAAATTTTATATTCTTCAGTTAGATCAGAGCTTTTACCTATGCTTAGTTTGTCTTTAAGGACAGTCATTTGGCTTCTGAATGCTTGAAAAGATTTTAAATAAGTAGTGCTATGGTTGTTTCTATAATTCTAAACTTTGATAGAAATTATAGTATACTACATTTTGTTGCTGAATAGCTTTTGAATTCATGAAAAATTATTAGCAGTGAAAAACTAGTAATTTTATTAAGTTACACATGTTTAAACATACTAGCTCATTTCTCTTGTGTTAATAGTACTGCTGTTTTCGCTTCTGTATATTCACATCTAGCTTTTGTATGTAATTTATCTAGTGTTTATAAAATGTGATTTGTAATAAATGTTGTTAAAATGAAAATGGCTTAACACTAATTTTTGAAGAGCACTTCTATAACATACATTTACTCATATCTGTGACAAAATTTGACTGACACAAATTTCATAATGATAAAAAATAAAATGGTCTAATCTCTGTCTTATGTTAATGAGAAATGTGTGTGTGTGTGTGTGTGTATGTGTACAAAGTACACTGGAGAAATGCAAAGAGGTAGAAAACCTATTTTAATCTAAAGAATTTCAAATATAATGGAAAATGTATCTTGTTAAAAAATACTTTTTATTATGATTGAATACTTACTAAGATTAGGCATCTTTCTCTTCCATATTTAAGAAAATAATGAATTGTTTGTGATATGCTTTTTTTCAGGTTTACACAAATGGACATTACTTCTTAATTACTACCAAATTGCCAGCCTTTTACCCAACTTCTCCCTCTCCTAGCCCATAAATCAGAAGTACTGAAACCGCAGATTGGTTAGTTTTTTTAATTATATTTATTATCATTATTTCAATGTATAAAGAATACATTTGTATTTAGATTTAGAGCATTGGGGGGAAAAAACAAAGACAGTAGCAAAAATAACTTTCCATTTATTGGGTAATTCTTTCTATGCAGAGTTTAAAATTTTTCTCATTTAAGAAGGACTTATTTAACTCTGTTCTCTACAGAAAGAAAATATACTGTAATTAGGGTAGGTAACTCCTTCAAAATTCGTTGTAGAAAACACTTTATTCTTTAAATGTAACACTAAAAAAGCCAAACTTCATTTGAATTTTAATAATGAAAACTTTTTTTGTGAAAACAGAGTCATTTACTGTTGACTTGTTTTTCCTTTCTGGTAGATAGAGTGTTGTTGCAACAGTCAGGCCTACTCAGGTGAGAAGGCAACAAGCCTTTCTACTACTTCATCTCTCTCCGCTGACATTTTGACCTTAGTGCCAAACCTCCAGCAAGATATTCAGAAACAACACATTCTTCCTTTTATAGTGTTCTGGTGCTTTCCTGGTGAGGGCAGGTTCTCACCTATAAATAGACTTTGAGGGAGCCATGAGCACAGGTAGCAAAGAGTTCCAGCATTTTCACATTCTCACCTGGGCTCTGATCCTCTCTGTGGGGCCTGCCTTCACCATTTCAGTTTAATGTGGTCCACTTGTAATTGGACTGATGAAAATTAGCTTGCAAGTGGTGTGACAAGTAATTAACTGATGCTTGTAAAGTGCCTTGAAAATAAAGGTACTTTATGAATATTAAGTATTATTGTGCCAAGCAAAGTGAGTATGGTGTTCTTTTAAGGTAGAGCAGTTGTGTAGCCATATACCCACCTACAAATAGGCAGCTGAACAAGAGAAAACAAGTATGAGAGGCTGTTTTCTTATTGATTGATGGACTTCCATTTGTCAAATGTACATCAGTTTTTTAGGCACATTAATAAAACCTAACTTCTAAACAGATCATATATTAAGTGATTTAAAATTTTATCTCATTAGAGTCCTCCAGTTTTAGGACTTTGAAGGGTCTGGACATTTTTTAATGCCTCATTTTACAGATGAGACAGTTGAGGGACAGAAAGTTTAGATGGCCTGTGCAACTCACACCAGGATCACTGAATTACAATGTAGGCCTCTTGACTTTGCCCCTGTGGTCATGAGGAGAATGAGACAGCTCATCAATGTTCTCCTATATGAAGCCTTTACTACCACTCTCAGAAAGGTGTGTTCCTTCCTTGGTCCTCTCACTGTACTCTGTGTAGATTTTCAAGTACCTGCAACACTTTGTTCTACTTCTTTATCCATGTCTCCCTTGTCACTGGCAACATCAGCATCACCCAGAGCTTTTTAGAATCTCAGGCCTCACTCCAGATCTGTTGAATGAACTTTTACATTTCACTAGGTGTGCATGGAATTCATATGTACATTAAAGTTTGAGAAGCTCTGTCCTAGACCATTAGTTCCTCAAGTGCAAGAATCAAGGCTTAGAAATCTTTGTCCTCCTAGAGAGTAGTTTAGGGTCTGATAATGTGATCTGTTATTTAATAAATGTTTGTGGTTGAATGACACAATCCAGGCTTCATTCTACTCTCCTTGACTGGCTTTGGAATAATAAATATTCTACAATATTTTCCCCCTGGTTTGTGTTGAAATAGTAACCATGGTCTCTGCCCGAGAGGCTCCTGGGAGTTGAAGAACACCTGTGGTATTCACTGGAAACAGATAAGAGCATAGCAGTTTCTGACACACATTTTCTTCTGATGTGTTTTCATATTCAAGTTTGTTTTATTCTATTAGGGAACATGTTGCATAAAGTCAGAGTGGTGATTTGTTGATGCTGGAGCTGAATTAAAATGAAAAAACACCTACTTGCTGTAAGCTTGTAGAGAAGGTTAGTAATTCAGTCCCTCTCAGATCTCTTACCCTCCCTCCTTATCTCTTGACATCTTCTCCAGTCTGGTGTTCAGGGATGAGCTTAGCCTCCATTGATAAAACATGTACAGGATTGTCCAGTGAAGTGTTCAGTGTTGCTCCAAATTTGGGAGGGAATATGGTGGTGACAGTGGCTTTTCTTTTCTGGAACAAAGGCTTAATTGTAAATCAAAAATGTGAAAGAAAAGCAAAATCCTAAATGTATACTCTACCTTTATTTTACTTTAAATTATTTTTCTTTCTGTTCCTTCAGTATAAATATATTAGTGTCCTCATACAAGACTGAATTGTAATTTCTTATTCAGAGTGTTTCTTTGCATTTAGTCAGTGGTAGCCATAGACAAACTTCAGGTGGCAAGTGATCACTTTCTTACTGTTTTAAAGGTAACGTAACAGAAAAAAGAAATGCGTAATGTGCTTAGGTTCAAAGAGTCAGATGTTTCTGACTGGAACCAGGGCTCAGCTTCTTGAAATAAAATAGAAATGCTGACCTTTACACATCTTGTATTGTATTACAACTCCTTTGGTGTTAATGTGTACTTATAAAGCAACTAAATGATCGAAGGCTATGGCAATTGTTAGGGCAGCATTTGAAGCCTATGTGGCATTCTTCATACTGAATCTGATAACAGTATGTATAGAAGCTGTCCTGATTATTTGTATATTTGCCAAGTATAGGGAAAAATGTAAGCCACAGGACATGGAAGTTGCTCAGAGTTAGAGTGCCCTTCCTTCACCCTTATGAAATTCATTTCTCTAAGCAAATTCTTTGAAACTGTGGTGAATAAAAACACATAACATCAGATCTGCCCTCTTAAATGTTAAATGAGTGCATTTTTATGGGAAAAGCTTCCCACTTAATTCCTCCCACTTAATTATATGGGAAGAGGTACCTCCCACCTCATCTGAGGGGGCAGAATCATTTTGTTTAGTTGGGTTTGTGTTTTGAAATGCTGTTGGAGCAGCTACTTATTATGTCAGGCTCTGTGTTAAGCACTTCCCATGTAATACCTCATTTAAGCAGCTACTTATTGTATCTCAGGTCTCTGTTAAGCACTTTACATATGAAATCTCATTTGATCTTCTCAGCAACCCTAGGAGTTACTACTGCTATCCCTATTTTTTCTGATTGAGATAACTGAAGCTCAGAGAGGTTAGCTAACTTGACTGTGGTCAAACATGCTAAGTGCAGAGTCTGGACAAAAGCCAGTGACACTAGTTCCATGCTCTTAACCATTGCACTATACTGCTCAGCAATAACAGTAAAAATAACAGCAACTGTTTACGGAGCACCTGCTATGATAGCCAGGCACTGTGTTAAGTATCTTGCATACTTTAAGCCATTAAACCTTCACATCAAATGTATGAAGACTGTATTATTGGTCCCACTTTGCCTGATGAAGAAATTGAAAGTTAGGCCTAGGACCTCATTTGTTTAGGGTCACATGTTTGAGATTGGTAAGTGGGGATCTACTGAAGGATGAGATCATTATGGTTCAGGATGTGTTTGGCCAGGATAGACCAGAAGCTGAATCCTACCCTGATTAGCTGGTTCCTGGAGATCTCCGAGGGAAATCTATGCCCAGAGTATTAAAACAAAACCAAGTGAACCTTTTATATTAGCTGGGGCTTTGGCCTCAGACTCCAGTGTCCCACTGCAAGGAGTGAGGCTGGCCAATCTGGAAGACTTGATTGCAGGTGTGGGTGAGTAGCCCTGAGCTTCCCTTCCCCTAAAGAGCAGGATTACTGTAGCAGGTTAAGTGGTAGGGCTGGAGTTTACAACAATGTCTTGTCTCTTAACCACTATTCCAGAGGAAGGGACATATCAAAAATTACTTGTAGGTATTCTTCAAAATACATATGATGCTCCAGACAGTTGGAAAGCCTACTCATGGTGACTGTACAAAGCATTAAAGGTGAAAGAAAAAATGTCAAAGATGAGTAGAAAACCAGCATTCAAATAGCATGAAGTTAGAAACAACAGTAAAATACAAAGATCTGTTTGTACTGTTAAGGAGGAATGTTACTTTTTGGTTGCAAAACCAAGGTCAAGAAGAGTGTACCCACTACGCTACTTATGTATAAGAAAAGGGGTCCCCTATACAGAATTTTGTTGTTAACAACCATTTGATCAATAAATATGAGAGATGCCCTCTCAAAAAAAAAAAAAAGAAAGAAAAGGGAAGATAGTACGTGTGTGTTATGCTTAATTTTGCATAAAGGACAACGAAGAAACCAATACAAGTTACCTGTAGGAGGCAAGAGGAAACAGGAATGGGGTCAGAAGTAGGAAGGAAATTCAAATGTGCACCCTTTTACAGTTTTGATTTTCGAACTTTGTAAATACATTATCTGTTTTTAAATAAAAGTTGGGGGTAAAGAAGCTGAGCACAAAAAGAACTTGGAGAAAGTTATCAATGCCAACAGTAATCTCAGGAGCACTCAGAAATGAAAACTTGTTTCTGCTCATGTCTTCTTCCTTGTTCTTCTATGTATATAATAATACTGTTTTTCTTCTCGTTTCCCTAGTTGTAAAAAATTAATAAATATTAATTTTTTAAAAGTTGGGGGTAAGAAAGTAAAAAGGTGGTAGTAGAG